CCCATCTAGTCTTACACCATATTTGTAATCTCTCAATATTAATCTTCATATCTTTTAAACCTTAAGCTAAAATTGCAGAACCTTGATGTGAATTATTAAAAAACCCTGTAATCATCCCACAATTTGAGATAAATTTCTTTATATCATTAAGTTTTACTAAATCAGCTGCTATCAAGTTAATAGCATGAGCTGCATATCGTATATCCCAAATATGACCATATTTTTCTTCTATTATTCTTCTAGCAACTCGACAATTGGAAGCATTGTCAGTGACAACAGCTGTAAATTTGTCTAAACCAATTTTCTCTACAATATCTGATATTTCTGAAGCAAGAAATTCTCCTGTATGTGATTCCATAGAATAATTGCGTAAAGCAACTAAATATTCTTTTCTATCGGAAGTTGTTATGACATAATTGTAAAGTGATTCATTTCGTTTGGATGTCCAACCATCCAATGCTAATTATAAAATAAATGATGAGAATTAATAAATTAAAATAACTAATTAATAATTAACATAATTTAAAAATTAAAATTTCTTACTTAAAGTTAAACTATCTGCTATCTCCAATTCAGATGTAACCTTTTTATCTGTCTCTTATACACATCTTTTTTTAAAGGAGGGTGACGAAAAAAGAAGAAAAATTTAGAAAAAATAACAAAAATAAGACAAGAGAAAAGAGAAGGAAGGGAAAGACAGAAAGGAAGATCGGAAGATCAAACTCATCAAAGTAAGGGTTTATATAAAAAACAAAAAACGTATCATAACAAAACAATAAACAATCACATGATCTCGTGTTATGATACGAGATTTTTGTAAAATTATTTTCTAAAATATTAAGTTAAAAAAAAAAACTCTTTCCCCTTTTTTTTATTTTGTTAGTTTTCCGCAGTAATTTTGCAAAGTTCGTTTTTTTTAGTTTCTATTTGAAACACCAAAGGGGAGGAGGCCAGGCGCCTCAGTCGCATACGAGGTTTTGTTCCTTTAATATTACTTATACTTAAAAGGTTATATCATCCTCTTCAAACCAAGTCGAGATAGATTTTTCCTCAGTTTCATACGCATCTCTGAGACCATATTTACAGTTGGACTTACGTTCTGATAGCGGCATAAAAATCTCCGAAGGCGGACTTGCTGAAAATATAGTATTAGATATAGATATACAACCACAGGATAATATACTCTCAACCAATATAACCAACGTTCCTTCACTTTTTTCATTACCTTCATTTTCCTCAACTTTCAAATTTTTGCTCAGTACCAAGAAAATCAACCCATACGAGGTTAGGGACACACGTGGATGTGGCACTTTGTATAACACCAAAAAGGGAGATATTTCCTTATCGAGTTAGATGATACCTGATATGTAGATTTAAAAAAGAAAAATTTTTTCAACGTCTGCACCAATGATATTCAAATGCCTGATGATCACCATAGGATCTTCAATTCGAATTGTAAAAAACTCAATCTGAATTACCTTATAGGGACATACCTGACCTTCGTTTTCACCTTAAATAAACAATTTTCACCTGCTATTGTAGATAGATATTTTAATCATTTACGCCAATTATTAATAGATAAAATATTGGTGGTTAAAAATAGAACTACTTCTGTATCAGATAAAAATAGGCAAACAAAGACCTTTATTCGATTTTGTTCCAGGCCTCACGTGATTTACCTGGGATACTACTTTGCCTGTGGATTTGTAGGAAATAATAATCAATGTTGTCAACAACCAGCTGCTGTCGTACTTTCACACAATCGACGAAAATGTAATAATCATCTCCCGAGTTTCATAATACATGGTAATAAGAGACGTCGAACTGGCAAATTACCTCAAAACCCTAGTTTTTATGTCCATAATCATAGTTATATCCCTCATAATCACGCAAAAGAAGTTCATTCAACACGATTAGGTATCTCATACGACGTTATTATACGTAGATATAATGAATGGAAAGGAAAACATGATTTTTATCTTCAAAATGTAATGGAACTAACATCTACAAAAACGAAAAAAGGTGTGGCCACCTCGCACATGTACTACAAAGAATATCATAACTTTGCACTTGATGCTAACTGTACACAACAACAAATTAAATGGTGGAATCGTTTAAAATTTTCAATCTTCAAATCGGAGAGATCTCTCGGTCAAGTCAAACCCTTTTTAATTAATGAGCACTCGTATGTGTACAAAAAAATTCAACATGCAGTTGAACAAAGTTCACAACATATTAAATGCGATTGGAAAATAGAAAATGATAAAACCCTTCGCAAAAGGATCAAAAACTGGAAACACCGTGTCAAAATGCGCAACAAGAAAAAGAAAAGTTTACCTACTTTACCAGATAATTTTACTGGAAACGCTTTATCCTATTACTTCAACACATACAACATTAATCTCTTTGCTTATAAAGTGCGATGACGCTTTGATTTATCCGGTATCCCTGATTTTAAACATGGTTACCTTAAAGCGAAAAGAAGTTATCTTAAATATCAAAATAGTTTACATTCACGCTTACCTCCAATAGTTGAGGACAAGGTCATTGAATCTAATAACAATAATCAAGCTACTTTTTTTTTAGATAAACTTATTATGGATTTCCATCGAGCTCACTTTGCTCCTATTACTCCTACTCGACAACAATATCCTTCTACGCCCAAACTTGATCATCTTCAATCGATCAAAGATAATGACGAAAGACCCATCAGGAAACCAAGAAAACGAAAAATCAAACTTTCACCCACACCTGGGCATGACCAATAAACAGAATATCTTTTCTCATTAGTTCACTTAGTTTTAATTTTTTTTTTTTTTTTACTATATGTAAAACAATCACAGATCTATGTAACCTATATTATTTTGTATATTTTAGACTTTACATAAACTTTTGGACGTAATTACTTTTATTTTTTTTTTTATTTTTTTTTTTTAAACTTTATTAATAACATGATGATCGCCGAATGGCGCATCATGTTCTAGACGACGTGCATCTGCTAATAAAGTATCTATCTACTAAAAACAAAAACGAAACATACAAACAAGAAAACTACCACTAAACCCAACTTCAAAAAAAGAAAAAAGAAATTTAACACTAACTATTTTACGCCTGATTTAACAACTTTTTAACCAAGCATTAGCGCCAATGTTAAACTCCATCGAACTCCCCACCCATAGATACTTTACTAACAACTACCATTTTCCCTTACGCATTTCACACTTCTCAAAAAAGAAAACAAAATCACAAAAACTACTCTATTTCTACCCTCTCTTTCAAAACTTACAACCAGTCACCATAGAATTGGCTAGATCCCGCAGTGAAACGTCCATCTTCCTGAAAAGAGCATTTTCCACCAAAGAATTGGCTATGTCCCACAGCAGAGCGTACATCTTCCCAAAAAGCGTGTTCTCCATAGTAACTTTATCCATTTACAACGACTTGCAGAACGTTAGCTTTTTGTATTTCTTTGAACAAAACAACTGTTTGTCTACATTTATTTACATTGCTACTGTCCAAGCCGAAACTAAAACTCATCAACTCTTCTCTCACATGATTACTGCGAATATGGCTGATCCCTTTTTCAGATAAATTTGTTGCCGCAATTTGTCCCACAGTAAATCACCTCATTTCCTTGTGATCCAATTTGTTCCTCACTGAATCTTCTGTTACTACTTTTAGATTCCATCCACGTGCCAAAATTTTTGCTGCGCCGACTAAAAATTTTGCGACGAAAATTCCCAAAAAACCACTATTTCCAAGCTATCTAAAGAATTTCTTCACTATAAAAGGTCAACTTTTCTTTTTATTTTTCCAAGCCTCTATTATCACCTACTGACAAAATTTTATTTGGAGTAACACCTAGCCCTTCCTGGCTATTTTTGGGTCACTACCATTAAGTTAACAGCAAGAAATAAATTTTTGGTAGAAAAATTTAAGACCTTCTAACAAACTTCTTCTAACCCTCATATCAAAATGTTCGTAAAAGAATGAATAAACAGTTGGTAATGTTGAAATGCGTAAAATAATAAATTTCTCTAAGCACTTTTGAACTCTTCCACCTTTTTCTTTCGTCCTAAAATTTTTGGTCTGAATGATCGGCGGGAAGAATTCCTCATAGGCATTTTCTTTTTCCCATTAGTTTTTTTAAAAAATGTTCAAAAATGAATTGCTTATTAAATATACGGAATTTGTATATGGAATCTATAGAAACGTACATAAAATGTATACAAAACGTATCCTTTCCGTATACATATTTCTTATAGGGCTGCCCTATAAAAAAATTGGATACGTTTTTTATAAAGTTTTTATACGATTTTTTTTCCTTAGAAATAACGTATCATAATAGGATACGGAAAAATGCACAATTCCGTATCACTAAAAATATGGTTTGGATACGGAATTTGCACGGAATACATATGGAATTTACATGATTTGATCACTGATTTTATCACGAAATTTATACGATTTGGTCACTGAATTTA